TATGTCCATAGGATAGAAAACCCAGAGAAATGGACAGATCCTAGATATGTACAATTTAGCAAAGTTCAATCAAGATATAAAAATTCTGAACAACCCAATATCAACTGAGATTGAAAATGTGATTAAAAACTTACCAACAAAGAAAAGCCCATGTCCTGGTGGATTCACAGTGGAATTCTATAAGAAATTCAGAGATTTAATGCCAATTCTTCTCAAACTCTTCAATGAAATTGACAAGGAAGAATTCTCCCTAACTCATTTCTGGAGGGAAGTATTATACTGACACCAAAACTAGAGAAAGATACAACCAATAAAAAAACTACAGACCAATTTCCTTAATGAATATAGATGCCAAGATAATCAATAAAATACTGGCAAACAGAATGCAGCAAGTCATCAAGAAAATAATATACCAGCACCAAATGGGATTCATCTCAATGATGCAGAGATAGTTCAATATATGCAAATCAATAAATGTAATACACCATATCAATAAAGTCAAAGACTAAAACCACATGATCATCTCAGTAGATGCAGAGAAAGATTTTGACAAAGTCCAATATCCATTCATGATAAAAACCCATGATCTTTACCTCAATCTAATCAAAGCTATCTATGACAAACCACAGCCAACATCATACTTAATGGACAAAACCTGAAAGCTTTCACTTTAAAATCAGAAATAAGACAAGCATGTACACTGTCACCACTCCTATTAAACATAGTTTTGGAAGCATTAGCCAGAGCAATTAGATAAGAGAGATAAGTAAAAGGAATAAAGATAGGAAAGGAAGAAGTGAAATTATTATTTGCTGATGTGATACTCTACATAGAAGATCCCAAAAACTTCACCAAAAGACTCCTAGAATTAAACACATTCTTTAATAAACAAATTAGTTAACAAAATAAAAACACGTTAGTTAATAAACAAATTCAGTAGTGTAGCTGGATACAAAATCAACAATCAAAAATCAGTAGCATTCCTACACACAGACAACAAACAGACTGAGAGAAAATTAAGGAAACCATACATTTCACAATAACATCCAAAAAGTAAAATACTTAGAAATCAGTGTAACAAAAGAAGTAAAAGATCTATTTAGTGAAAACTATGCTACTCTGAAGAAAGAGATCAAAGCAGATTTTGGAAAATGGAAAGGAATTCTTTGCTCATGGATAGGAAGAACCAATATTGTGAAAAGGGCCATACTCCCAAAATTGTTGTTCAATGCAATTCCAGTCAGTATGCCATTAGTATACCTCACAAATATAGAGAAAACATTCCTAAAATTCATCTGAAACCACAGCAGACCTAGAATAGCCAAAGCAATCTTGGGCAACAAAGGCAAGATGGGAAGCATCACAATCCCTGACTTGAAATTACATTACAAACTACTGTGATAAAAACCTGCCTGGTATTGGCAAAAAAACAGACCTGAGGATCAATGGAACACACTGGAAGAATGCAGCCACAATCACAAACACACCCAATAACCTTATTTTTGACAAAGGGGCCAAACAATTTCATTGGAAGAAAAATAGCCTGTTTAATAAATGGTGCTGGAAAAACTGGCTTGCCACATGCTGAGGGCTGAAACTAGATCCATGTCTATCATCATGCACCAAACTAAAGTCAAAATGGATTAAAGATCTAAATATTAAAACAGAAACACTTACTCTACTGGAAGAGAAAATAGGTGAAAATCTTGAAGACATAGGGGTAGGCAGAGAGTTCATGAACAAAAACCAAACTGCATGAAAATACTTCAAAGAATCAGTAGCTGGGATCTCATCTTATTGAACAGTTTTTGCACATCTAAAGATATCACCAACACAATAAAAATAAAACCCACAATTTGGGAAAAAATTTTAGCCAACTGTCCCTCAGACAAAGGACTTCTATGCAGAACATAATAGAATTCAAAAAAATCATTCCCCCAAAATTCAAATACTCTATACAAAACTGGGCATCTGAAATGAATACACACTTCTCAGATAAAGAAAGAAATGCAAATTAAGACAACACTGAGAGGGCCAGGGATATAGCTCAGTGGCATAAGTGCCTGCCTGGCAAGCGCAATGTCCTGAGTTCGATTCCTGGTACAAAAAAAAAAACAAAAACAGATACCATCTTACCCACAAAAGAATGGCTATCATCAAGAAATCAACCAATGACAAATGCTGGAGGTGCTGTGGAGAAAAAAGGAACCCTTCTCCACTGTTGGTGGGAGTGTACACTTGGTACAACCACTGTGGAAATCAGTCTGGAGATTCCTCAGTAAACTAGGACTAGAGGTCCCATTCAACGCAGCTGTTTCCCTTTTGGGTATTTTTCCAGAAGAACTACAAACGTCATACCACAGAGATATATGTGCACTCATGTTTATAGAAGCGCAATTCATCATTGCTAAATCTTGGAAACAACCCAAATGTCCATCAACTGAGGAATGGATAAAAAAGATGTGGCATTTTTATACAATGAAATATTACTCAGCGATAAAGCAAGATAAACTCAAGGCTTTTATAGGTAAATGGATGCATCTAGAGACCATAGTCATAAATGAAATAAATCAGACTCATGTGTATACATCTTCTTGTCTCGCTAATGGAAGAACCTGAAAGAGTAAGTAAATATAAAAGGTGCAATAGATATTGTGAAAGGGACAGAAACTGCTCAAAAGGAAAGAATGACTGGGATGAGGTAAAAGAGGAAAGAAGGGAAAATATGAATATATATATACACAAGCTTGATAAGGTAATTGTATTACTAATTTCTATTGTGTTATTGAACAGTTAATGTTTAATTGTTTGATCAGTCTTACAGACCTATATGTTTATCTGAGTAATCAATTTGAAGATACAGTATGTAATACAACAACCATTGCTAATTTCCTATCACCTTGCCTAAAATTCTGTATTGCTTTTGTTTTTGTGTTATTTTATTTATGTCTGTATGTCTGTTAATATGTTTAGGTTCTTTTATCTTTAAAATAAAAATAATTCAAATGATATTGAGGCAAAAACTCCTGTTAGAGGGTTGATTAATAAAGATATTAGCTCAGTGACTTAACCAATAATCTTTTATGTAATAACCAGTTGTATTTTTTAGTATATTATGTATTTTTAAAATTGAATCTTAATACAGTAGTATTTCACCTAGAGTTTTTATTAAAGTTTTATGGGTCATTTAAAATAAAAATTTGAAATCTTAAACACTGAAGAAATATAAGTCCTGGAAGATCCATCTATTTTCCTTCTAATTCAGAAAATGGTATCATATCTCATGTATGTGGTTTGCTTTCTTCAACTTTGGAATTTCAGTTGCGTCCTTCAATTCAGAGAACAATACTGACATCCAGGGGATAGAGGATTGAAAGTGCATAGCCAGAAGAACAAAAATTCATTTGGGTTATTCTTGATTGTGGATGAAACTGTTGTAAGTTAAATTATTAATACAGTTCAAGTACTGAGGACTATAAAGGACATGCTTAAGAAAAATGACAGGATTCTCAATAGCTTCTGTCAGCCATTCATTCAAAAAAATGTGTAGTACAACCTTCTTAACTAAGGGTCTATAATTTTCTAATTGCTACAACAGAAATAGCATATAAATAGGAAAATATTTTCAAGAGAAAAATAATATGATCAAAGAAATTTGCAAGGTAAAGAAGAAATTTGAGCAACCATTTCTTGATGGAGATCAGTTCGCGATAATTTCTAACTCCCCTAAAAAAAGCCTCTAGGAAAAAAAACTACCTAAATTTGACTATTCATTGTAACAACACTATGTATTTCATATTAAAGAACAAGCTAGGCATGCACAATAACGTCGCTGCTTAACACTGGGAAGTTCTGTCGAAAATAAGAAAATAAAATGTTACAAAGCCAGAAAAAGAGGTAATCATTTTTCTGGTAATATGCCTGCATATTTAGAAAAACATTTCTTCTCAAAAAAATTTGGAAAAGTGATTGAATAATAAGCATCCCTCAAAAGTCAGTTTGTAGGGGCTGGGGATTTAGCTCAGCGGCAAAAGCGCCTGCCTGGCAAGCGCAAGGTCGTGAGTTCGGTTCCCGGTACCGGAGAAAAACAAAAAAAAAAGTCAGTTTGTGACTCTATTGACAATAAACCAGATAAAGAAATGAGAAAACATATTCTATTTACAACTGCTACCAAAACTATGCCAATATATTAAAATTTTGATACAAAAGTTAATACATGACAAAAAAAAGTACACAAGGAATCATGGTAGAAATTCTTTACATCTGCGTCCCACATGCTGACTTCCCTTCTAAAGACAGACACTAAACAGAAACAAGGCATACAGGTGTGTGTACACGCATACCCTCCCAACATGCGCACGCACGCACGGATCCTGTCTTGGTTTGCTATCTACAAAGGCTTGGCCAACCGAGGACAAACACTCATTGTTAATTGATTCCTGGTGGACGACTAGTACCAAACTAATCGTTTTGAGTCAAAAGGCAATGAACACCGACAAGGTCTTTCTGCAGGCGCCAGAGGACGGTTCCGGGACAGTTCTGGTGGAGTGCCAGTTTGGCCAGTTTCAAAGCAGTCCACAGCCATCCTCATAGGCAGTAGCAAGTGTGTGTCCTGGGTTTGCATCCAATGTTTAATTTTCTAACTTTAACTCTTTTTACAATGTGGAGGAAAACTACGTCTCAGCTCTACAGGAACAAAAAGCCATGAGGATTTAATAATATGAGGTTATTTAAAGTGCAGAAATCTTTACAAACACGACATTAAAAAATCAGAAACTGACCCTTTGACAGAAATGTTTACTCTCTTTTTGCGAAAAAAAAAAAAGGTCCTTACGACATCAGGCCCATTCTACAAGAAAATAATAAAATCAACACTAGGAACAGCCTAAACAGAGGACAGCTAGGTTACGCACCTACGCCTAGTTTCCATAGGAACGCACAATTCCTGTGAGTTGCCGTCAGCGCCGGAAGTTCCCCTACTGGTTTCCGATTTGCCTCTCCACCTATCGGCATTCTTTTTACTTAGGCTACAATGCTCGCAGAAGACGGATGAGTTTTGGCCAGAGGAAGCCGCCGTCGAGGGGCGTGGCGACGGGGCCGAGGTAGAAGCGCTTCGCGTGCTGTTACCAGTGGCTCCTCTTCCGTGATCTGCTATGGCGCAGCCGGTAACACTCAATCTCAATAACGAGGTGAGCGCCGGGTCGCATAACCTGTGTGGCTGATCTTAGGGGTGGTCAAAAACCAGCTTCTTTGCGTCTTTCGACTGGGGCTTGTGATCGGTGTTCGGGGCAGGTCGAGCCTCGGGGCCCAGGGACAGGGCTGGAGAATCCTTTTGGAGGGTCTCGCTTTGGCTACCAGGTACCCCGCTTCGCGGTTTCTAGGCAGCTAAAGCCGGAGACTTGCGTCTGTTAGGCTCCCACACGTTTGCCTGTGAGGATTTGGAAAGGTCAGTTTGTCTCCGTATCCTGTGTCCTCTCACATGCAGCTCAGAATACTACCTTCCTTATAAGTTTCTGAGAAATTAGCTGAGACAGGATCACAGTGCCTGACCCTTAATAACCTCTCATTACAAGTTACCTGCTTTTCATTCGTTGTCAAAATTGAAGGAAGGGATTAAGAATTGTAACTTGTCCTAAGAATTGCTGATATTGAATGAGTCCGTCTACTGTTAATTCTTCCTGCCCCATTTGTCTGTTTCCTCTTGTAACAAAACTTCAACAAAGAACTGTTTATATTTGCTATTCCCAGTTCCCCTTCTCTAAACCGTTTTTAAGTCCAGTTTTACACAAGATTTGCCCTCACCACCACCTTTACTAAGTGTCACTAGGCTACCCTATGTTTCTTATTTTGAGGCAGTAGGTTATCCGAAGTCTTCAGGTAAGCTCAGAAAGTAAGGATCACTGTTACGAAGAACAAAATAATGGCCTTTTTAAAAAATCTTTAATCTGTGAGTATATCTGTTGTTTGCAAGGCACTTCAGAGTACACAGTTGAGTAAAGTATACCTTATATATTTTAGTAACCTGTTGGGAAGGAAAGCTTAAGGCACTGCCCTCCTGTGATACAAAATAACTTAGGAAGAGTGCCCCCCCCCATAGCTATTAGTGCAGAAAAGTTTGCAAAGAAGACAAAGTCAGGTGAGTGGTATTTGCCCATGATCCTTGAGACTCTTTTACAGGAATTGCAGTCAGGGACTCAATAAAAATAGGAAAGCATTCCAAGTAGGGAGACGGTAGTAGTAGGAAACCCTTTGGATGGTTTAGCATGGAAGTGTCTTCATTGATGAGAACTTAAAGAATGAAGTGGAAAATAAAACTGAAATGTAGTGGTGCCTTACTGCTGTGTTGCGGCTGGATTTGAGTAGTCAGTGGAGTGCAGAATATACTGAAGAGGGGAACTGAAAACTTTTGAATTTATTTCTAAACATAAATTATTTTTAACCGTACATTGTGCCAGAAAACAATCGGTGGCGATTTTCCTTTAGGTTATTTATGATATATAAAGGACCATAAGTCAGAAAGACGTCCTTGGGAATTCACTGGAAACACTTGTTAGCTTCATGTCTAATTGTCTAATTTTCACTTTGATTGCTGTGATGACAGGAAATCAGTTATATAAAATTTTTTGCCACTTAGCTAATAGCCAAGAATCTTCAGCTAACAGCTAAAGTTTGACTTTATAGGAAATTTTTGCTAATTCACCCTATTCTGGAGTTTATTCCTTGTATAGTCAGGTGCTTTCTAATCTTGGAATACATATTTGTTTTCCTGTATTTATACATCTATACGTACAACATACGTGCTCTATAAATGTTTGCCAGGTGAGTGATTGAATTAATCAAACCAGGCAGTATATACATCACACACTAAAATCTGTATCTTAATATGCAGAGGATAAAAAGGACAGAAAAGAATGGAGATGATATTGTTTAAAATTGATGAGAAAAACTACAAAGAGAAAAATACTAACATGTAAAATTATCTATATTAAAATTGAAAAAAATGCCAAAAAAGAGAAAAAGGACAATTAAGTAGAAAATCAAACATATGACAGATAAAAGCCAGTATATGTTATTACTGTAAAATAGCTGCTGAAAATTGAGAGAAAAAGTCACACAAAAATGAGCAAAAGATAAGTATGAACTATTTACTCAAAAAGGAAGTATATCCTGAAAGGAGTTTAAATTCACTATTTCAGATCTTTTTGCCACTGTTATACATTAAATTATATTGCCAACCAGTTCAAATTATATTGCCAACCAGAGCTCTTGTACTAGTGTCTTCCAGCTACTTTTTTTTTTGGTTTTTTTTTCCGGCACTGAGAATCGAACTCACGACCTTGCGCTTGCCAGGCAGGTGCTGTGCTGCTGATCTAAATCCCCAGCCCCTCTCCCAGCTACTTGAATTGACTCTTCTCAGCTTTAATTTGCTGTGCATACTGCTTCTGGAGTACAGTACTCTCTTCAAAACATCTAATCACATTACTGCGTTTTTTAGAACTTATGTATAAATTTGTGTTGTTGGCTTTATAGAGAATAGAATTTGTAAGTTTCACCAAATTTCCAAGTTTATAAATCTCTGTGGAATTGCCTTTGAGGTGTTTGTAGTCATAGCTGTGATTTATTTTCTAGGAATTCTTGTTTCATTAGTTTTAATTATTTTTTAAATGTAGTTATTTCTTTAAAAATTATATTGTAATCTAATTTTATATTAAATTTCCCGGGACTTTTTTGATGCTTTCCCTGTATCTTCGTAATAATTGGAAAGACCATTCCATGTCTTCAATTCTTAATAATTTTATTTTTATAAGAAAAGTTTCAAGGACAAAGACTAATTTATAAAATACTTCCTAACTCTGGGTTGTTAAAATACTTTATTTTTGGAAAGTGAAATTTTTTCTTTACTTTTTAAATTTTATTTATTTATTTATTTATTGGTACTAGGAATCAAACTTAGGGCCTTGCACTTTGCAGGCAGGTTCTGAGCCTCTGAGCTACATCCCCAGCCATCTTTACTGTTTTTAAAAACAAACCATAACTTTTTATTTCATCTCATGATTGTTGAATGCTTTGTCTTTTTCAGAATTTTATGTGAATTTCAAGTAAAAAATTTAACTTACAATTTCTCAAACCTCTAGCATAGTCCTTATCTACAGGTAATAAGTAAGTCAATACTGGAAAAATAAAAATATGCTCAACACACCTTTTGTCACTAATGTTCAATAAAAATATGCTTAGCACAACTTTTGTCACTAGTGTTCAGATGAAAGAGGAGAGTCTCCTAAGTACTGACTTTTTTCTTCCTTTCACATTAAAACTATAGAAGGAAATGTGCACAATTGAAAGCAACAGTGCTCTAACGTTTAGTGAGTCAGGAATTTGAAAAACACGTGGATTTACTGTAGTCATGTTTCTTTGGCAGTAGTAATGTGTAAAATTTGAATTACACTGATTTGATGAAGTACTTTGATTCCATAGATGGGTTATGAGTCTTTGTAGAAAACTAGCATATTATTCTTTGATAAAAAATTACCAATAAGACCATTCAAAAATTACCTGTCATTTCTTATAAAACAGTAGTCCTCCCTTATCCTTGGTTTTGCTTTCTGTCATTTCAGATAATTAAGGTCAAGTGTAATTCTGAAAATATTAAATGGAAAATTCCAGAAATAAACAATTCATAAAGTTTTAAATTGGTCATCATTCTGAGCATAGTGATGTGCAGCCTGGGTTGGGAGTTGTCACTTGGGCCGGCATATCTACATCTTACCTTCTGTCATCTTTAGTCCTGTAGCCCTTTGTGTTTGTTTGTGTTCAAGTAACCCCTATTTAATTATAACATAAGTGCAAATTTTTATTCCAGTATGTTACTATAATCATTCTACTTTATTATTAGTTGATTTTGTTCATCTTTTTCTGTGTCTAACTTACTAATCAATATAAGTACAAATTTATCATAGGTAGGTGTGTGAAGAAAAAACACGGTATATACAGGGGTGGTGCCATCTACAGTTTGAGGCATCCATTGCTAGTCTTGGAACATATATTGCTTCAATTAGGGAGTACTGCAAAAAAGGTGGAAACAGGGGCTGGGGATTTAGCTCAGCGGCAAAAGCGCCTGCCTGGCAAGCGCAGGGTCATGAGTTCGGTTCCCGGTACCGGAGGAAAAAAAAAAAAAAAAAAGGTGGAAACAGAAACACCAAAGAACAAAATTATTTTCCTCGCTCTATTGTGAAAGGTAAAGATGTCAAGAACCATGTTTGTGTGTATGAAGTTACAAAACTCATTCATAACTGGATGCATACTACTTTTTGATAATTTTTTCTGAAATAGTAAATTAGGATTCGTTCCATCCACAAGAAAAACCAGTTTGTCTTTGGTTGTTAACTGTTCTGGTAAGTTTGCTAGGTGGGAGCATATGCCAAATTAAGGTTAAGTTAGGTAATTACTGAGCATTCTAGATATTTTAAATTGTTGCTCAGGAAAAATAAAACTTGTAATTCAACCATAAGTTATCTAAATGACTAAATTAGGATTTTCTTTATAAAGCCATAATACTTCAAACATGTGGAAAATAATATAACAAATGCACTTGTACTCTACTTTCTATGTTTAGCAGTTACCAAATATTTTGTCATATAGTGTTTTATTCCGTTCACCTTCCTTTCTACATCAAGTGTAATTATTATTTTTCTGGTGTGTTTTCGCTCTCTTTTTTTGTTTTTGTTTTTGTTTTGAGAAAGGATCTCACTGTACTTCAGGGTAACCATGAACTCACTATGTATGTAGCCCAGCCTGGCCAGGAATTCATGGTGATCCTCCTGCCTCAGCCTCCCAAGTGCTGGGATTATAGGTGTACATCACCACAGCCAGCTGGCATGGTTTTTCATCTGTAAGTTTCATAATTTTGTAACGTATATCTATCTATACCTAGTGCACAGTACTGTTTCATATATTTTTAAATTCTGGGTGTAATGTTATTCTGTTCACTGTAATGTACATATCATTCTGTTAACTTTTTCCACCAAACATTATTTTAGGATTTATCCATGGTAATACATGCAGGTTTTCTGGACGTATGTGTTTAAATTCTACACTTACTGAAAATACTACATTTTGTGTGCTGTATATATGATTTATACTGTATATGTTTTGTATGCAATAAAAAATAATTTACCTGATTGTCTATTGTTGGATATATGTCTTCTAAATAGATTCTTAGAAGTAGGATTCTTGTCAAGTATTGTCAAATTTTCCTCCTGAAAGAGTATGCAATTGACATTTCTACCAGCAAGATCTGAGAGCACCTGTTTGCTCACAGCTTCAGGATCAGAACATATTGTCCTATTTTTTTTGTTGTATTTGCCCATCATGTAGGTCAGTGGCAGTGAGCCTAAGGCATGCAGGCTGCAGCAGGCTGTTTGTATGGTTGAAAGCTCTAAAGGTTTTGCATCACTGTTATAGATGAATGAATAATCAGAAGGTCTAATGAGACATACACATGTGTCTAAGAGACACAAGGATATGCAGATTTTCCTCATGGCCCTGAGTTTTTGTTACAGGTTAGTCCAAATATGTATCAAAATTCCTGTATCAGTAGCCAGACATGGTGGTGCACACCTGTAATCCCTGCCCTCAGAAGGCAGAGGCTGGAGGATTGCTGTGACTTTGAGGCCAACCTGGGCTACAAAGTGAGCTCAAGACCAGCCTGGACTACACAGTGAAACGCTTTCTCAAAAAGATAAAGCAAAAAAATCACTATATCAGCAGCAGCTTGTTAATGGACTGGCAAGCAGGTAACCAGCCCAAAATCAATTCAAAAGACTTAATTTTGCATGTGGTTTAAAGTTCGTTGTCAGCTTTATATATCAGAAACTTGCTATTACTGTATACTCAGAAATATACCTCAGCTCTCAAAAGTAGATTCCCATTAACATAAACTTGCACTCACATTGTAAAACACATTCTTTTCCTCTCTACTGATTATCATCAGCTGGTCTGAAGGTGTGTTTAGTGCATGGTTCACTGTTGGGCTATGATGTATTGTTCCACAGAATTTAGTTACCTTAGGACAGATTGCATTTTCAAGTCTTAGAACCTGAAAACTTTCTTTGGAATTTGCCTGAGTTGGATACTGCCAGCTTTTGCTTCTTTGTAGTTCCCTTCCTGTGTCTGAGTTGACTCTTTTCAGTCTACTCGTGGGGTCATTTTTCAGCAGGTATATTAGCTTCTCTCGATTTGTGATCATACTCTTGTAGTTTGCCCAAGAAGTGATCCAGCTTGCCCTGTGTTCAGAATTTACCAAGTTTTCTCTGTGGATAGACTTTTGACATCTTCTCTCAGCACCTGTACAGTCTGTGGTGCAAGTTTTAAATCTTTCTCTTTTGATCTCATAAAATACATTCCTTTCCTGTTTGAAATACCTCAACTATCAGTCTTAGTTGTGAACATAAAGAGTTTTCCTTAAATTTCTGTCTTCAGCCTCTACTTTTCTTTCATTTTTTTTCCTTCTCTGTCAGTATATTTTATTTCCATTATTATGCCTGTTTTCACCTTGATCATTTTATTCTTCTTTCCTTCTCAGACAGTATCATACTGTTTCCATAGTCCCAGCAACGACAGTTCTGCTTGCTTTTGGTTAGAGAATTTGCCACAGTGTATTGCTTTTAAGCACTACCTTGGCGTTCTGGCAGTGTTGGGTGTTTGGGGCCTGTCTTTTGCCTTCTGGGTTGTCTGTCAGCCAGCTTCAAAATTCCTGGGCCACAGATGAGTCACAACATTTAAAACCCTAAAAAGTTGCTAGTCATCAGATTTGCAAAAATAAAGCTGTATTTGGGGGGAGCAATTAGGAGAAAAAAATGTTTAATTCCGTTTTTATGTGAAATGAATACACTTCTTTATACACTAAACTTTTCAAATTTTTCTGCTGCCTCTACACAAATACTGAGAAAGTTAAATTATAAAAGCATTTTTTTGCTATTGTATAAAACTAAGTTTATGAGGCATAAAAGTTTTTGCCTTTAGAATTTTTTCTAAAAGTAGTGACAAACATAGTATTTCTATGCAGTAGTGACAAACATAGTATTTCTGAAATTGAAATTTTAGAATTGGAGACTTAACTTTTTCATGATTAGAATGTAACCAAGGACCAACTCTGCCCAGTGCAGTTTACTAGTACTTAGTACATTGTAATCTAATGTACCTGCAAAGTTCAGCAGTTAGAAACATTTGCCATATTTTAATGCATAATTTATCATGTATTTATACTATGAATGAATTAACTTATAAATGTACTATAAGCTCGTTATAATTCTTTTGGCCAGTTAAACCTTGTCTAAAAGACATTTTACTTATACAGTATATGAATATTTTTCTTAAGTATATTTCACTTTGAAATAAATTCCAAAGGTGTTAATGTACCTAATGGGAAGAAAACCCTGATTACTTCTGTTCTTTTAATCTAGTATGCATTTGATTTGAAACAGTGAATTGACAAATAAGTATTCAACATTTCAGGTAATTTGTTTAACAAGTGTTCATTGAGCACATAATTGTACATCACTGCTTGTTAGGTTTTAACATGTAGTGTTGACTAAAATCAGACACTTGGCTTTCAGTGAATGTGGGGGAAGGTGTGAAACATAATCAGAGTAAAAGAAAAATATTGAGGGTCATGGTAAGTTCATAATCATTTTTATACTATTGATTTATTCCTTCATTGCTAATGAAAGAATGTTGATTTCCTCAAACTAGGAATGTGGTTAAAGTGGTAGAGCAAGAATATAATAGTAAAACTCAGAATTAATTGTATTTGTTTCTGAATTGCATTTTTAATTTTGGCTTTCTTCCCCAAGGTTGTGAAGATGAGAAAAGAAGTGAGGAGAACACGAGTCTTGATCATCAGAAAACTTGTCAGAAGCGTTGGCAGGCTGAGGTCCAGAAAGTCAGTTGCTTTGATCCTGTGGTTAATAAATGTCTAAAATGTTTTTACTTAAAATACTTAAAATGTGATGATGGGATATAAAGGAGTGGTTAAATATCTTGTTCAGTACTTGGTTTTATGCATAGATTCAAGTGATGCAGACTGTGTAGTATCAGCATGTCCTTATACAGTTGAGACTATCTGCGTGAGACACAGGATGAAAAACCCTCCATTTAGTTTTTTCAGAGTATATTAAGATGGTAATAACAAATTTAAGTCTAGGAATACCTTGAGTCAGTTGTAAAGATTTTATATCATTTTTCTCTTGAATTACTGTGTAATTTGAAACTTTTAGTACCTTTTGAAGTGCTTAATCAGTTTATTGTATACCATGAAATTTTTTGAAAAAAGAGTATTTTATATTTTCAGCATTAACAGTGTCAGTAAAAAAAAGTACATACAATTCTTGTAGTTTAAGCCTGCGTATTTATAAAACCTTCAAATGCATTTTGTCCCCACTTAATTTTCTTTTCTAAGAAATGTTCCAGAAATAGCTCTTCTCTCTAATAAGGTGTTAAACACTTATTTTTCTTTAATTCTAGAGAACAAGTTTTCATTTAATAAACTTACAGCCGATACTTACAGTTTATGAAACATATATTACATTAAATACAATGTAATACAATTGATAGAATGATTGATTGATTAAAAAGTGTTACTAATCTTCCAGATAAGGGGCTGGAGAAGGCAAACTCTATTACTGATTTAACACCAGGACAGTGCTTGTTTACTAGTTTCAGACACTTGGATTTGTTTATGAAATTGGTGTATGTGTTAGGGTGGAGAAAAGGGGGAGTACAATAGGCTTAAAGTAAAAACTTTTCATTGTGATATAATTAAAATGAATGTTTTACCTGGTTATGTATCATTTTTTGCAGGGGTACTGAAGATGCACTGTTAAAAAATCAGAGGCGGGCACAACGATTGCTTGAAGAAATCCATGCCATGAAGGTAAGAATCTGTGTGCAAATGTGTACATCTATTTCTGTGTCTCTCCTATCAACCTGCTTTTTGTTTATGTGTGGTGTTATTTGAATATTTATGAGATTGCTCTTATTTATATGTGCCTGTTTGGTGAAGAATGTAAGCACATTTAGAAAATAGTAGTATGTTGAAGCTTGTGTTTTCCTGTGTTTTTTACTGAATTTGTTAAAGTACTAGACTAATTTGAGTCAAAACTGCCAAAGAAAACTCATCTGTGTTCAGTAATGCTTCATGCCCAAGGGTTTTACTTGTACTGTAACTTTAAGCCTGTAACCTAAATCCAGTTAGGAATTAAAGTGCTCGTGTTACTTGGGAATGTGGATGGTGCTTTTGGTGGCCGACATCATGCTTTGTTTATTGCCAACTCAATACATTTTTATGGGGTGGTGTCAGCATTTTTTTCAGTGCTGTAGTAACTTAAAATAAAATTAGTGTTGGACCAACATGATCCATAGTTTTGTCTTTTTCAGCCAGACTTTTCATTAGCATAATTTTTAAGTCTCAATGCTTTTACTTTGTGGAAACTTTCATTTACTAAATGACATACCATTAAACGTCTGGGAGACTGTTCTATTGTAGAACTTAAAAATAACATTTGGTACTAACAATTATCTTAATTGCAGGGTAATTTTACATGTATGTTTGACTATCACAGTTTGGTATATCTTCCATGTATTGAGTTAAATAAAAGAGAAAGATAATTTTCTTAACAATATTTTAACTGAGCTAGATTACCAAAGCTTTTCACCTATCTTCTTTTTTAGAGGATGATGAAGTATTGAATATGATAGTCTTGTCCCAGTTAATATGAACACAGGCGTTGAACATGAGTTTACATATGAAGTATATTCATTTCTTGAATTAGCACTGCAAAATTCATGGTATCCTCTTGATATATCCATTTTTTCAAATTTATAATCCTCTTTTTATCCAGTTATTCAGAAAAAAGCTAACAAGTAATACTCTGTTTTTGTGTGTCATGGTACTCATGAGCAAAAACACCTTAGGAGATTTTTGCTTTGAGGATAGCACTAAGATTGGAAGTTATGATTTATCTTTTTCTTTCACTGTCTGTTAATCCAAGTCTTTCACTAAGTTACATTGCATACCTGAATTTTTCCCTGTAATTTTTTATGAATAGTAATTCTAAAGTATTCACAGGGTTTGAGATTCTCTATAATGGCTAATTTTGTTTTGATGGAGAGAATACTATATATGTATGAGCAGGGAGGTGCTTATATACAATGAAGAGTTGATAACAAAAGATTATCTCTGGAACAGTTCCATTTTGTAACTCCCAATAATTAACTTTATTTGATAAGTTTTTCTGTCTGTTCTAGCTGTAAGTCTTGTTTTCTGTTACTCTTTTCTTATTATACCTTTAATTCTCTACTTTTTTTATTTCAAAGAAAAAAAACAAAAACTACAAAAACATGAAAACAAAATTCCAAAACAGTATGTTAGGAGAGTAACATTGATCAACACATTGCACACTGTTCTTTAAATTAGTTACTCAGAGTACAAGATACCAGCATTTAATTGTCCAGACAGTATTAGCACAGACCTATCTTTTCAATGAACTGAAAGAAATTGGTGGCATACCTAGCTTAACTATTTTATATATATTTTTATATATATATATATATATATATATATATATATATATATATATATTTTCCTTTGTTTTTCCCTTTCTTTTCCTATTTCCCTAAACCAGTTTCTCTTTCCTTTTGAAGTTTCTTCCCATTTTACAGTATCTATTGTACATTTTGGATCACATTACTTTTTCAGCTTCTCACACTAGGGAGACATACACTGTTTACACATTTGTGCCTGGTTTATTTCACTTACGAATATGGACTCAAGTTGCATCTATTTACCTATAAAATATTCCAGTTTATCCTTCTTTATGGCTGAGTAATACTCTATTATATAAAAAGACCATATCTTTTTTATCCATTCCTCGGTTGATGGGCATTTGAGTTGCTTCTAAGATCTATCTATTACAAATTGTAACTATAAACATCGATGCACATATATCACTGTGGTACAGTGTTTTTAATTCTTCTGGGAAGATACCCAGAAGGGTCAAATGGGACCTCCAATTCTAGGTTACTGAGGAATCTCCAGACTGATCTCCAGAGTGGTTGCACCAGTCTACACTCCCACCAACAGTGGAGAAGGGTTCCTTTTTCCCCCGCAGCCCCTCTAGCATTTGTTATTGAGAAAACCACTGTGGGACTGTTGCCTGTAGTAAACTAAGTAACAATGCCTTTTAAACAAATTGAAGAACCGTGAGACAGGGTGATTTGTTTAAAAGGCATTGTTATTAGTATATTAGTGTATTGATTATGCGTAGAGATTTTATGTAAAATCAAGTAAAAGAATACATCAGTATAATGTAATAACTATCATATCATTTGAACCTCACCACAACTCTGTGAAGTAGGCAGAATCCTATTTCAAAGGACATTTTCAGAGGTATTCTAGGCTGCATACTCACATTAGGTTGTAGGTTTATTATCATATACAGTCATATTGTTTAGAATTTTCTGATATTTCAGGTTATGTGTGCTTTTTTAAAAAATTATTGAGGTTTTTCCTATGAGTACTTAAAAAGAAATTTTTTGAGGATAAAAGATGCATTATAATATCCTATATTGTGTTTAGTATATGTGTCAAATTAATATTTAGTTCATTTATACTACTAAAGTAATCATATTGCTAGTACTAATCTTTCACTGTAATTATTTTGACAGTTTCATCTTTTATTCATGAACCATTACAAAGCACCATATTATCAAATCAAGATTTCATGTTAGAGATTTTACCTAGAATCCAGGTATCCTAATAGATTAAGGATGTATAAGCAAGCAGAAGGCACAGATAAAGCCAAAGGACGTTTGGGACTCTGATTTTCCATACCAGCCACATACTTTCTGGCCTAGAGTCTCCAAAGTACGTAAGTTTAGTTATTAGCTTGTAGCAGGACATATTTAAATTTTGAAATGTCTTTGTTCTCTTCCCCAGTAGTGTATAGCTTATATGATATCTTGTAAACATCCTTAACAAGGGACATGATACTAAGAGCATTGTGCAAGTAAGGATTTTCCTCCTAACAGAGCATTAGCTTATTTACAAAGAGAAGCAGTTGTAAGCGTATAAATATTTACACTTTTCCCTCCAGATTTTTGGAAAATACTTCAGAACAATAGAAAAATGAGCAAAAGGGGCTGGGGATTTAGCTCAGCGGCAAAAGCGCCTGCCTGGCTAGCGCAAGGCCATGAGTTCAGTTCCCGGTACCGGAGAAAAACCAAAAAAAAAAAAAAAAAAGAAAAATGAGCATGTTACTATCTAAAAATAAAGATGCAGAGGCTGGGAATATAGCTCAGTAGCACAAGTGTCTGTCTAGCAAGCGCAAGGTCCTGAGTTCCATTCCCAGTACCAAAAAAATAAAATAAAAATGCATTGTACCCTGTCTATGTTTGTTCTTTTATTGGCACTGCTGACTTCAGTCATGTGGTTTAAATGTTGTCTATTAGATTTCTCCATCATAGTTACCTTGTCCTGTTTCCAGTTACTAAGCAACCTGTCAGAAAGTACTTTGAAACTGTGTGAATACTCTGTCGTCTCTTCAAACCCAACAATAGATTAAATAGTTGAATCCATTACATTTTATTTTTTCTATTTCCTGTTTCTCTGATTTTTATTCACTGAAAGGAATTCTTGTTAAATATCCCTGAGGAAAGTTAAAATAGCCATTTTTGCCTGTGGAAAAGAAAAATATCCTTTATTCATATGCGGGGCAAATTTGCATTATATTCTGGCATTATGGAGATTACATTGTACAGATTGGATTTCATCCTTTTCCCCCAGTAAATGGTGGGTTTAGCAGTTAATTTTCTTGGCTAGCTTTCAACTTTAGATTACATTCCTTCGTCATTTCTTGGTCAGTAGCACCAGTCTCAGTTGAGATCTTTTGTCTTGCTCAGGCTGCTGTGCTTCTGTCCCCATGAGTGGGGAGATGTAGAGGCCTCTCCTCTCTCCGTTCTGGGTATCCTCGCTGTCTGAGGTGACGAGGTATCCTGGATTCATCTCCACAGCTACCTCTACCATGCTCCTGAGCCATGAAAATTGTACCTAGCCTTAGACTAAGCACTGAAAAGATGGTGACTACTTGTGTAATTTCTCATTAGAGTCTGTTTGCTTTTGTTTAGTCCAGTGCTTTCTGATTAGACCTTTTGGCAGTAGAGCCAGCATTTATGATTTTTTGCAGGTTTGGTGAGGGCCACTTAATCATGTTTTCTGTTAATCTCTTAGTGTGAGAGGTTAACAGTCTAAAATTTAAATTTTAGGGAGTTGAAATTTTAAGTAAAAGATCAATAAAGTGCTGCCAGTGTAAGAGAAAGAACCCATGAGAGTATGGTGTCTAGGAAACTGAGTGAAGAAACTATTTGAAGAAGGAAATGGTGAGCCTAGGTATTGTTTTCAAAATTAGCACTATTATTTTATTGAAAATACAAACTGACTAGATCATGGTTAGTGATAAATTTATCAAGGTGAAATTTTTCCACGGCCTAGGATGATTTACAGAACTGTATTTATATAATAAAAATGGTTTTTATTCTTAATCATTAATCCTAAGCATGTAAAGCATGCCTTTTTTCACTTGACCACCAAATGCTAGTTCTAAACTGTAAAAACATTTTAACTAAATTCTTATGGTCGAGAATTGTTTCCAGAGTCATACTTTCTTCCTCTGAGTCAGTAACCTGGAAACTACAATGGTCTAAGTGTGGAAGAAATAAAGTATTTCTCTGCTTCTTGTTTGCTTCCAGGACTCCTTCAGCATACTCCTTGTAGCCTGGGTTGGCTACAGAGTATCAGTACTGCTGTCTCTGAATCCCTTTCATAATTCTGTACTTTTAGATTAGTTTTTCTCATACATGTTGTAAAAACCAAGTAAA